CCCCAAAACCCCAAAACCCCAAAACCCCATTTATGTAATAATGATTGTTAATAATAATAAATATTTAAAACTATTAATGATTTCACCAGCTAAGAATTTATGGGACGATGAACAATGCATCGTCTCTGATGAATACAATGAGTCAATCCACAAGAATTGAGTTTACTGATGGCAAAGCAATAGCAATGTCCTTGTGAACGATAAGGGAAGTGCAAGACAGTTAGGAAAGCATTCTCAAAGAAGCTGCTATCAGCTATTAAGAGAGGGCATCATTCAAGTGGATAGCAATTTAGAGTCAGATCAAAGCAAACAAAAGTCTATATCTTCATCTCTTGCGGTTCATGCAAAAGATTTGAAACAAGAAAAATCTTACAAAGTTTTTAGTCATTTGTAGGACTCTTCATCATCAGGTTTATCAGGTATTTTCAGCAAGAAAGCGTTATCATGGAAAGAGAAATGTAAGAGAGGTCAGATGATGTCTTCACATAGGATTTTGATAGAAATGGGTGAAAAGCTTTAAAGCCTCACCATAAATTACTCGCACAGAGTTTTAATATTCTACTATTACTAATTTATGCATAATAATTCCTTGAAATCTCTGTTCTAAAACCATTAAGCTCTTATATACTTTTATATTATGTAATGATTCGGGTAATAGTCGACTCCATTTAGAGTTAAGCTTTAGAAGAAAATTTTCGAATACTCAATTAATACCTGCTTACAGAATTTTATATGGAAATAGGTTGATTTGCAATATTTATCAGAATCGAAATTTTTAATATTTTTGGTCAAAGAAATACACCATGTATCGCAGAAACCAAGATATGTAAAACCATCAAAGAATATATTAAGCTCTCTTATCTTTGTTTTACATAAAATGCAAAAGTCTTCAACAAGGACTCATGAGTGTATGCAGTTGGTTATTCATAACTCATATATTTTTTATTTACATATATTGAAGCGAAGAAGTATAAAAATTCACTTGCATAGAACCTAAATCAAGGAATCAAATTGCCAAATCGTCAATTAATTTCAACATAACTATTCAATCTAGATATCTCAACTTAGCTGGCTATTTTTTCAATGTCCCAGTTCAAATAAACCTATCTGGAGATAGTGCTTCTTCTTTGCCTTTTCTTACAAATATCTTGGCATTTTCAGATTTGAAAACATTGAGAAAAGTACCGAAATTAGCATGAATAGTTGCCAATAAATTTTCTTGACTGATATCGACCAGAAGCTGCAAAGAAAGGGGAATCATTATCTTAAAGCTATTATACTATAGAGTGTTTATGGGAGTTCTGGAAGTTGCTAATAATATATCAATAATAATACAAAAGCCTAAGTTGATTACTTAAAAATCTCAAGGAATCACATTTTCAGTTCACCAAATGACCTCCAAAATTTCTCATACAACCCTCTCCTCTCAGTATAAATGCACTAAGGTTCTTAATACAGCTCTCTAAACACTTTAAAAATGTCATAATCTAATTTCCTGAAGAGTTAGCACCCTAACATGCCTGCTAAATTCGTCCTCATCTCCACTACCAACACTCAGCCCAAGAGACAAGCATAGTCATCCAAGTTGGATAACAAATATTTCTAACTTTTATGGAACACTGTGAAATCACTGAACTCTCTACTTCAATAGCGTTCCCTTGGCCCGGGGTTTTGGGGTTTTGGGGTTTTGGGGTTTTGGGG